GCAACCCGGGCATGTGCCCTGACCGGGAATTGAACCCCGATCGCCTGGATCCGAGGTCGACGCTCAACTGCTGAGCCGTGCCCGGCCGGGCTGGTTGGGTTTTATAAATAACTAAATCAAGAAAACAAAGATTGAGGTTCTTATGAACATGGCCCTGATATACAAAAATGAACCAAAAAATTCTTCGTTTCCTGAAGGAACTCAGAGTAATGGAGAGAAATCAAACATGTAAACAATCCTCTATGCCAAGCAACTTAGTAGTGAAGTGAATGAAATGATTATTGAATGAATTAATAACAGAAAATAAGCAGATAGCAACCAAAAACCTAAAATAGTGCTGTATTCCAACCGTTTTATTGTTTGTTTCCAAAGAACCTAAAACAGCATAAAAACGAGTAAAGTAAGCAATGCTCCTTCTCTTTACCCTCCACTTTATTCAGCGAACATTACGTGGTGGAGGTGAAGCTTCCAGCGAGAATGTTCGAGTCTCTACCTTTACAGATTAAAGAAGGGCAGCTACTTCATGTGTATCCCGTACTTTTCAACGTCGGAATCAATGAACAGCAAACTCTTGCTGAGAGGTAAGATTAGTACTTAGGTTTTCTTTTTATTTACTTACTTACTTACTTATTTATTAATTTAATTTATTTATTTTTACTTTTTTTCAGTTACAGTTTACATTTGATATTATTTTGTATTAGTTTCAGGTATACAGCATAGTGGTTAGACAATCACATACTTTACAAAGGGTGCATCCGATATTTCCAGTATCCACCTGGCACCATACATAGTTACTACAGTATTATTGACTGTATTCCCTGTGCTGTACTTTAGACCCCATGACCACTTTGTAACTACCAACGTGTACTTCTCAATCCCTTCATCTTTTTCGCCCAGCTCCCCAACTCCCACCCCTCTGACAACTTTGTCTGTATCTATGAGTCTGTTTCTGTTTTGTGTGTTTATTTACTTTGCTCTTTAGATTCCACATATAAGTGAAATCATATGGCATCTGTCTTTCTCTGTCTAACTTATTTCGCTTAGCATATTGCCCTCTAAGTCCATCCATGCTGTCACAAATGATAAAATTTCATTCTTTTTTTGTGTCCAACTGATATTCCATCGTATGCCTGTACCACAGCTTTTTAATCCACTTGTCTATTGACGGGCACTGGACAGGTTTTCTTCTTTTTTTTTTTTTTTAATTTATCTTTATTGCTGAAGGTATTACAGGTGTCCCATTTTCCCCCCCAATTGATCACCTCCACCTCGTTCCCACTCCCTCCTCAGGCCTTCACCCCATTAGTGACTATGTCCATGGGTTATGCATATAACTTCTTTGGTTAATCTCTTCCCATCCTCTACCCTCCTTCCCTCTTTCCTCTGAAATATGATCGTCTGTTGCATGTGTCAATGGCCCTGGATCTATTTAGTTCGTCAGATTCTTTGGTTCATTAACTTCTCCTTCAAGAGGACCCTTCAACATTTCCTGTAGTTCTGGCCTGGTGGTGATGAACTCCTTTAGCTTTTCCTTGTCTGAGAAGTTCTTTATCTGACCTTTAGTTCTAAATGATAGCTTTGCTGGGTAGAGCAATCTTGGTTGTAGTTCCATGTTTTTCATTACTTTGAATATTTCTTGCCACTCCCTTCTGGCCTGCAAAGTTTCTGTAAAGAAATCAGCTGACAGTCATATGGGTGCTCCCTTGTAGGTAACTAATTGCTTTTCTCTTGCTGCTTTTAAGTCTCTCTTTGTCTTTAACCTTTGACATTTTAATTATGATGTGTCTTGCTGTGGGCCTCTTTGGGTTGCTCTTGTTTGGGACCCTCTGTGCTTCCTGGACTTGTAAGTCAATTTCTTTCCCCAGGTAGGGGAAGTTTTCTTTTTAATTATTTTTTCTTTTTAATTATTTTTTCAAATAAGTTTTCATTTCTTGCTCTCTTTCTTCCCCTTCTGGCACCCAAATAATACAAATGTTGGGCTTCTTGAAGTTGTCCCAGAGGCTCCTTATACTATCTTGTTTCTGGAGTCTTTTTTCATTTTGCTCTTCTGGTTGGGTGTTTTCTGTTTCCTCATGTTCCAAATTGCTGATTTGATTCTCAGCATCCTCTACTCTGCTGTTGACTCCCTGTAAATTATTCTTCATTTCAGTTTGTGTAGCCTTCATTTCAAATTGATACTTTATTATGTCATCGATTTTCTCAGTTGTTTTTGTAATACTCTTACTAATATGGTTGAGCATCCTTATAACCATTATTCTGAACTCTGTATCTGTTAGCTTGCTTGGATCTGTTTCATTTAGTTCCAATTCTAGAGATTTCTTCTGTTCTTTCCTTTGTGACATGTTTCTTTCCCTCCACATTTTGGCTGCTTCCAGGTGTTTGTTTCTATGTATTAGGTAGAGCTGCTGTGTCTCCTGGAATTTGTAGAGTGGCTTTGTGTAGTAAGTGTCCTGTAGGGTCCAGTGGCTCAGCCTCCCCAGTCACCTGAGCTGGGCCTTCTAGGCGCTCCCCTGTGTGGGCTGTGTGCACTGTCCTGTTGTAGTTGAGCCTTGGTTGTTGTTGGCGTCACTGGGAGGAATTGACCCCCCGGCCAGTCGGCTGTGAGGACCAGCTACAACTACGGCCAGAGAGCTGCTGTGCTGGAGACACCCCTATGGAGCAGGATTTACTTCAGTGGAGCTTTGGTGTTCACCAAGTGTGCCCCTTGAATGTGTCACTCGTGGATGTGGTAGGGTTGTAATCCAGCGTGGTCGAGTCTGACCACCAGGTAGGTACACTGTCTCTGGGGCCTCCCAGGAGGTGCAAAGTCAGCCTGTGCCAGTGCCTTGCCCAGGGCCACCCAGCATGAGCTACACAGCACACAGTAGGTGGCTGCTACTTGTGCTGGGCTTGGAGGTGTCCAGGAGAGGCCAAGCTATGAGCCAATGCAGCTGCCGCTAGTGCCAGGCCTGGGGCCACTTATCAAGCTGTATGAGACCCGCTGCTGCTTGTTTGAAAGATTTTAGAAAAGTCCTAAACATGAGGCTCGAGAGGCCACTTGCAGTGAAAAGCCCCTGGAAATGGCCTGGATGAGCCTGCAGGTGGGAGGGGCGGGGCCTCCGGGAATCACAGGGCGGGGCCAAAGGTGTGAGTCAGGTGCTGGCGATTCAAATATGGTGCCTCCCTGCCGGCTGTGTGTGGAGAGGACTCGTCAAAGGAGCAATGGCCTCTGCTGGCTCTTCTGCTTGGGAGAAAGCTTCCCCTCCAGCTCTCACCCCGATTTCAGGCAGGTTAGTTCCTCCCCGAGTGTCCCAGGTCCTTTTAAGCTGCTGCCCGGCGCTGGGCTTAGAGGGAACGCATCTGAGTGAGTCCGTGCGCGGGCCCTTTAAGAGGATCTGCTGGGGCTCCCGCAGCCTCCGTGACCCTCAACAACAGTCCTTGCTGGTTTCACAGCCTGAAGCTGTGGGGACGTCTCTTCTTGGCCCTGGGACCCTGGGCTGGGGGCCTGCTGTGGGGCTGGGACCCCTTGATCCTCCAGGAAACCTCCACCGCTGAGATTCCCTCCTGGGTTTAAACCCGGGCACCAGGTGTGGACCCGAGGCCGCATCTCCGGGATCCAGCCCCGATCCACCCGCGTCTCCGCCCCTCCTCCCGGTCTCGGTGCTTCTTCAGTTCCCTGGTTGTAGGGCTTCTGTGCAGCCAGATCTCAGGAGGCTCTGAGTGATGGTGGTTCTGTATTTTAGTTGTGATTTTGATGTTGCGGGAGGCGGCGGGTGCAGCTGTGACCTACGCCGCCTTCTTGTTTCTTTTGGCAGGTTTTCTTTTTAATTGTTACATGTGTGCTGAGCAAGTCCACATGTTCCTGCACATAGAACATAGTTAGACTTGTGGCTAACATTTTCCTTTCTGCCAGTACCAACTTATTTGATACATTAAAGAAAGATATTCTTATTCAAGGATTCCTGGCTCCCATCAAATTTAAATGTGGCAAAATACTAAGGAAAATATTGTTGTCAATACTAAACTATTCACAAGGACTTTCTTCATGTTTCTAAATACATATGTGTACATCAAATTTTAGAATTTTTTATGTTCATATGTACAACATTGTAAAACTTAGCTAATTGTATTAATACTTCCTAAACCTAAAACACAGTCTCTTTTTCCTATTGTTTTATTTATTCAAATAATTTTTATTAGGGGATGTTAAAACATTTTTTCATAATAACCTTCTCAAACAACAGATGATTGTATATGATCCCATGAGTTACTGTCAAAAATGCTTTCTTGAACAGAGAGAGGGATTACTTTTGCATCTTTCATGGTTCACATGTAGACATTATTGAAAATGTAGATAAGAGTTAAGATTCATAGGACACATTTTTAAGAGATTTTAGAGAAAGAAGTTACCATCTTGTTGTAAAGTCTGGATGGAGAAGTTCCCCCACAGGTAAAACTTTTGAAGAGCTTAATAAATAGTCCTTAGTATTTAAAATGTTTTCTTGTCTATAATTCACTCTCCGCAGGACTCCTTTCCCCATAGGAAGCAATTGAAAAGTGCCTAGCAGATTTTTTGCCACTATCTGATAGTACATGTTAGGCCTTTACCAATGTTATTTATGAAGCAAAAAATACCATTGTATTTTTAGTCCTCTTGAATTTCGGTGATGGTCAAGGTGCCTGTTTTTATCTATTATTTCCAATAATTTTCCCTTTTCTCCCTTTTATCCAAAAGATATTTCCTGGACAGCATAGGTGTTCATAATTCTCACTTGCCAGTTATGTACAAGCATAGGGGCTGATGTTTTAGACATGATATTTCTTTTGTTTATATTTGGTGATTATGAGAACATTTTGGTGTGACAAAGGGGCTTGATGGAATCAGAGCCAGTGGGGAATGGAATGTGTTTGAAATCACTATTGTGCATCGTTGCTTAAAAAAGGAGACTCGTGCCCTGGCCAGTGTGATTCAGTTGCTTGGGCATTGTCCCATGTACCAAGAGGTTGCTGGTTTGAGTCCTGGTCAGGTCACATGCCCAGGTTGGGGGCTCCCTCCTCAATAGGGGTCATGCAAGAGGCAGCCAATTGATGTTAAGCTCTGACATTGATGTTTCTCTCTCTTCTCCCTTCCTCTCTTTAAAAAAAAAAAAAAAAAAAAACATATT